AAAAAAAGAGAATGAGAATCTAAGGTACAAATGGTTGGGGGTGGGGGTTCTATAGTCCTACACCACTCTCTAATTAGCCCTCAAAAAGCATATATATATATATATATATATATATATATATATATATATATATATATATATATATATATATATATATATATATATATATATATATATATATATATATATACAGATTGACGGCCAGAGAGTTAATGAAGTGACAGACGGTCACAATTACACAGAAGAGATGGATGTTCGAAATTATACAAATATGACAGACGGGCAAAGCTTTAAGGTAGCAGCGACACCCATAACTATATTGAAATGACAGACGGCCAAAGCTTTAAGGTAGCAGCGACACCCATAACTATATTGAAATGACAGACGGCCAAATCCGTGAAGATGTCATAGACGGCCATAGCCTTGAGGTAGACCCGGACGGCCAAAACCTTGAGGTAGAACTGGACGGCCAAAACCTTGAGGTAGAACTGGACGGCCATAACCTTGAGGTAGAACTGGACGGCCATAACCTTGAGGTAGAACTGGACGGCCATAACCTTGAGGTAGAACTAGACGGCCATAACCTTGAGGTAGAACTGGACGGCCAAAACTTTGAGGTAGAACTGGACGGCCATAACCTTGAGGTAGAACTGGACGGCCATAACCTTGAGGTAGAACTGGACGGCCATAACCTTGAGGTAGAACTGGACGGCCATAACCTTGAGGTAGAACTGGACGGCCATAACCTTGAGGTAGAACTGGACGGCCAGAAGCCCGAGCTACTAATGACGCAAGACAGCCGTGATACCCAGGCAGCTCCCCCGGAGGTGTTAGCGATATTGGACAAGAAAGTCAACATAGTCACGTGACATTAGGTGACCCCCCCCCCCCCACCCCCTCTAGTCTGGCCACGGTAGAGCTTCATCTCATATTCAAGATCATAATCTGCGCCGTGTAATATGGAGGCCAGAGGATACGAGCCGGGTAGATTTATAGGCAAGCGTCCGTACTAATGGAATACGTTCGAACGATTCTTTTAATAATCGCTGGCGTGTTTCTCGTTTACAGCTTGAAAGTTCGATAGACTTCACGTAGTTTTTGTATGGATTAAGTTACTGAAGGAGTGGTAGGATTTTCTTTGCGCGATGCTTCTGGTCAAAGAGAAGTCTACATAACTAGCTAGTTAATGCATACATAAACTACTACATTCTAAGTCACTTAATAGATAAATCACTACATTAAAAAATTAGCTAAAATAAAAAACATCACTTCCTTCAGAGTTTCTTTCAGACATACATTTATACATATATATATATATATATATATATATATATATATATATATATATATATATATATATATATATATATATATATATATATATATATATATAGCGTCTTTATGTACAAAACCACAAGTGCATTTTAAAATTAACGCCCATATCTGTTAGAGCTAATAGATGAACATAAAACTACTTTCGACTGGAATGATTATATTGCTAGATTTGTCTATAACTGGGTACATGAAAAACAGGAAGCCCCTTACCGTAAGCCTCTTAATTTATTTATAATATGAATCAAACAGCCAGGGAGTTGCCATGTCGGCATGCGATGGAAAAAGCGGCGGCTCTCGACCAGCCTACTTAACTCGTTTGTCTCCCTTTTAGAGCCTGATGATGGGAGTTGCGTCCCTTTGGTTTGGAAGTTGTGTTGCATCTCCCAGAATTCCCTTTGCGCGAGTCGTATCTAAGCACTTCCTCTCTCGAGATCAGGAGAATGTTGAATGCTCGTGGAGCACTTTGTAATCTAAATTTAGCTTTTCTCTTCTTTATATTATAACTTAATGAGGGGAAAATAGAAAAAAAATCAACTAAATAGACTTTTTTGGACTTTATTTTCCGTTTCTAATTTTTCTACATGAAAAAATATTAGAAAAAGAAACAGGACAGATAATAAAAATATGCTTGTCTTTACACTGAGACACTCACTTCACGTGAATTATACATGGATTTCCTTTTACAAAACACGGCACTTTGCATTTGACCGAATGCTACCGTTGTTCAATTAATGATGTCATGTCAGACCTTTATAACACAACATTTTTATGGCATTTAATAATAATTTTAACATTTAAATACAGGCAAATTGACAAACGCGCTTATGAAAACATGTAGGCCTACACAATTTTCAGTTTGTTAATATACTCTTGAAATTTGTTTTAAAAAACTTTAAAAGTAAAAATCAACGTACTGTAATAGACGGAAGTAACTATATATATATATATATATATATATATATATATATATATATATATATATATATATATATATATATATATATATATTTATTTATTTATTTATTTATATTTATATATATATATATATATAAATCTGAGTGGTATTGACATGTATTGATTTGTAAATCAGACAGACATATTTAAGTCGTGTACTTTGATGTACTGGCTGTACCAGTGTTGCAGCTGTAGAAAGCCATGATCTATTGTCTCTACTTCTTCACTCATCAACATACTATGACAGAAAATATTCTCCACTAAAATTAAGTGTAAACAAATTAAGTGCCTAATTTGTTTATTGCTTCAAATCATGTCTTACATTGGCTAGTCTGGAGCACAAAGTGGCACCACTGTAATGGCACATTGAGGTCGGGTGATACCCAGAGCGACAATTATAGGTACAATCCCCCCATATATATATATATATATATATATATATATATATATATATATATATATATATATATATATATATATATATATATATATATGCCTATCTCCCTCCCTATCTCTCTCTCTCTCTCTCTCTCTCTCTCTCTCTCTCTCTCTAATATATATATATATATACATATATATATATATATATATATATATATATATATATATATATATATATATATATATATATATATATATATATATATGTGTGTGTGTGTGTGTGTGTGTGTGTGTGTGTGTGTGTGTGTGTGTGTGTGTGTGTGTGTAACGCTCTAAATAGCAGTCTCAGATATGCAGCTAAATGGAAAATGTGAGCGCATATGCGCGCCTAAGTTAATTACTTCTCGTGTTTTATTTACGAGATGAGTTCAATGCTCTATGTCGGCGTGTTATTTTTACGTGTTTTTTAAAGTGCAATAACGAGTTACAAATTAGCTAAAAAAAATTGATTTTCCAGAAATTGACAGGCGAGTATAATGTTTTGAGTTAACGTCAGGTTTTGGGTAGGTTTATGAGCAGTGTTGTAAGAGTATGTGTTAGTGATAAGTGATAATGAGACTTGTTTCAAAAATAAAATAATTGTATTTCATAATTAGGAGCTTTCAGTAGAAAGTACCTGGTTTCAGAGGCGCCTCGAGGGGGGGGGGGGGGGGGTGACACCAGATGGGGGAGGGGGGGGGGGTGACACCAAGGCAAAAATAGCAAAATATATACAGAAAAATGATAATTCCACTTAATTAAATGATTAATTAGATTGAGTAAAAAAGTCTTTAGTAATAAAATTAAATACATCTAGAAAAAAATGTGAATATATATACACATGTATATACACATACTTTCAAGTGTGTATGGAGAATATATATATATAAATATATATATATATATATATATATATATGTATATATATATATATATATATATATATATATATATATATATATATTCTAATAAATAACTAGTAATTTATAATGGTTTTATTACCAATTTTTTTTTTCTTCATCGATCTAAATCCTATCCGGACCAACCCAGAGTTAGTGTAAATCAATATCGGTGATCAGTATTGACCACTTATGGGATCCCTAGTTTGGAGTGTTATTATCTTTAGAACTTGAGAAGGTCCCATTAAGTTATTTGAACAAACATTCACAGGTCAAGTTGCCGGGTGCACGCAGGTACAAACTGCACTTCCTGTACCTGGGTAAATACCTGGTGCTTGAAAACATCGGTCATGGTCTGTTCATGCCGGCTAAAGGTTCATGGTCTGTTCTTGCCGGCTAAATGTTCATGGTCTGGTCGTGCCGGCAAAAAGTAAACGTAAATGGTCTAACGTGCCGGCAAAAAGGTACATTGGTTGTGCCGGAAAACATGTACATTGGTCGTGCCGGCAAACAGGTACATTGGTCGTGCCGGCAAACAGGTACATTGGTCGTGCCGGCAAACAGGTACATTGGTCGTGCCGGCAAACAGGTACATTGGTCGTGCCGGCAAACAGGTACATTGGTCGTGCCGGCAAACAGGTACATTGGTCGTGCCGGTAAACAGGTACATTGGTCGTGCCGGCAAACAGGTACATTGGTCGTGCCGGCAAACAGGTACATTGGTCGTGCCGGAAACAGGTACATTGGTCGTGCCGGTAAACAGGTACATTGGTCGTGGCGGCAAACAGGTACATTGGTCGTGCCGGCAAACAGGTACATTGGTCGTGCCGGCAACAGGTACATTGGTCGTGCCGGCAAACAGGTACATTGGTCGTGCCGGCAACAGGTACATTGGTCGTGCCGGTAAACAGGTACATTGGTCGTGCCGGCAACAGGTACATTGGTCGTGCCGGCAAACAGGTACATTGGTCGTGCCGGCAACAGGTACATTGGTCGTGCCGGTAAACAGGTACATGGTCTGGTCGTACCTGGTCCCAATGGTGCCAGACACGAACGCCCCACCTGACGGTACCTGTGTAAAACAAACTCACGTGCTCGTCATATTCGCCAGTCCAGTAGCTGATTAATTCCCGCCATATGCCACGTGCTCGACCGACACCAGTCGAGCTTGTTTTAATTACTTGCAGTAACGAGCCGAGAGAGGAAAAAATTCCACTTGGAACATTGTCAACATTTTTTATCCAGATTTTTTGTCATGTTAAACCGTAGCAGTGGAGTTTAAAGTTGCATGGAGTTGTTTTTTTTTTTCATCATAACTAACTGTCTTGTTTTTCTGTTGTGCTTTTTTGAGCGAGGTTTTTATTTTGTTTTTTTTTTAATATAGTTTTAGCATTATTCTAAAACTATTTAGAATAACAGAAAGAACATTACAATCTTTTTTGTGAATATTTAAATTACGAAAGTGAGTATTCCATTACATAGTTTGAGGATCGACCATTTGCATATTTTTATCTAATTGAGCACATGTAAAATGTAAACACTTATTTTAGCTGATGCCATGTTAGAGAGCTAGACTGCTAACCCGTAAGTCTCAAGTTCGAATCCGGGTCCAAGTGAATAGATCACAGTGAGTCCACCTAGCTCTAATGGACACCTAACTCAGGCTAAGTAACAGCGGTTGGGCATAGAAACAAAAATAACACATATAAGACTAATTACTCAAAATGGTTCGAAAGTTCGTAGGGACTCAAGCATCAGTTGAGAGCTATTGATATAATCGTCCTCGGAATATCACACTTGAGAATAATTGAATTTTTTTCTTACATCTTTACATTTGTCTGATCACATTTTTATAGAGAAATTGTAATTGTATTAACAATTAGTTTATCCATCTTTAAGAAGCTATTAATATAAACAATAAGAAAAGTATTTAAGGCCTGATATATATATATATATATATATATATATATACACACACACACATATATATATATATATATATATATATATATATATATATATATATATATATATATATATATATATATATATATATATATATATATGTATATATATATATATACTTAAACTTATAAAAATATAAAAGTTGAAACTTTATCTGAAACGGCATAAAAATGCTCCTTTATATTTCTTTTAAATGCGTTTTTTTAAAAGAATACGTCTGACATAATAGATTCGGTTTAAATTAAAACATTTTATTTACATCCTAGCTAGAGTAAATAATTGAACGGCTTTTAATCTTGAATGCATCAAGGTAAAACAGGAAACTATAAACGGGTTTTCTAAAAAAAAATATATTTAAATATCACTCAGTTTCAGTTGACTAAGGCATCTAAACCCAACTATAGAATATATTGAACATTTTACCGAAGTCTATTATAAATGTATGTCCTTTTGATTTTCATGATTGGGCTATTAATGTTGGGGTTGGATTTCTATTTTGTACATAAAATATTTTAAGGAATTAAATTGAATAAAATCAAAAACGATTCGTTATGTAACTTAAATTATGAACTGGTATGTCATCTTAATAGTAATAGTGTATGTTGTTATTTGAGGTAACGAATGTATGTGTCTGGTTTACCGGGAAATATTCACATATTGTTTGGGAATAGCGCGGTCACACCTCGCATGGATTCGCATTTAAATCTTGGTGTACGTATACTTGCGATACTTACGATACATACATTATGTTAAACCCACGTACATATATGTTCACAGTACGTGGATGTGTTTACACAACACGAGTGATAATGTTCACATCAAGTACACATGTGTATACACCTCGTACAGATATGTACACACCATTACATTATGTACACACCACGTTCAGATGTTTAGCCTGCATGTATGTAGTGGTTTGTACATATTTCGTACACACCATGTATATATTTGTACACAACACGTACATATACACCCCACATACATGCATATATGTACACTCCACTACATATAAGTACACTCCAAGTATATGTTTGTACACACTACGTACAGATATGTACACGTGCATATATGTACACACTGCTACATATATGTACATACAAAACATTTATGTACACACCACTATATATATGTAAACAACACTACATATATGTACAGACCACAACATATATGTAAAAACCACTACATATATGTACACAGCACTACATATACACGTATATATTTATACACGCCACTACATACTTGTAAACGCCACTACATATATGTACACCACTTTCAGATGTGTTGTCTACATGTATGGTGTGTACATATCTTTGTACACATCACTACATACATGTACACGCCACTATACATATGTGTCCAGACCACGTATAGATTTGTACACACCACAACACATATGCACACAAACAGAAGCATCTGGCAAAAGCTGATAAAAACATCCCGTCCCGCCCCCCTCCCAGCCCCACCCATCTGTTCTACCATCGGTCCCATCTGTTCTACCATCGGTCCCATCTGTTCTACCATCGGTCCCATCTATTGTACCATCGGTCCCATCTGTTGTACCATCGGTCCCATCTGTTGTACCATCGGTCCCATCTGTTCTACCATCGGTCCCATCTGTTCTACCATCGGTCCCATCTGTTCTACCATCGGTCCCATCTGTTCTACCATCGGTCCCATCTGTTCTACCATCGGTCCCATCTGTTCTACCATCGGTCCCATCTGTTCTACCATCGGTCCCATCTGTTCTACCATCGGTCCCATCTGTTCTACCATCGGTCCCATCTGTTCTACCATCGGTCCCATCTGTTCTACCATCGGTCCCATCTGTTGTACCATCGGTCCCATCTGTTGTACCATCGGTCCCATCTGTTGTACCATCGGTCCCATCTGTTGTACCATCGGTCCCATCTGTTGTACCATCGGTCCCATCTGTTGTACCATCGGTCCCATCTGTTGTACCATCGGTCCCATCTGTTGTACCATCGGTCCCATCTGTTGTACCATCGGTCCCATCTGTTGTACCATCGGTCCCATCTGTTGTACCATCGGTCCAATCTGTTGTACCATCGGTCCCATCTATTGTACCATCGGTCCCATCTGTTGTACCATCGGTCCCATCTGTTGTACCATCGGTCCCATCTGTTGTACCATCGGTCCCATCTGTTGTACCATCGGTCCCATCTGTTGTACCATCGGTCCCATCTGTTCTACCATCGGTCCCATCTGTTGTACCATCGGTCCCATCTGTTCTACCATCGGTCCCATCTGTTGTACCATCGGTCCCATCTGTTCTACCATCGGTCCCATCTGTTGTACCATCGGTCCCATCTGTTCTACCATCGGTCCCATCTGTTCTACCATCGGTCCCATCTGTTCTACCATCGGTCCCATCTGTTGTACCATCGGTCCCATCTGTTCTACCATCGGTCCCATCTGTTCTACCATCGGTCCCATCTGTTCTACCATCGGTCCCATCTGTTCTACCATCGGTCCCATCTGTTCTACCATCGGTCCCATCTGTTCTACCATCGGTCCCATCTGTTCACTCTAGTACCATCCGGGCGGAAATTCTGCTGGTGCCAACAGAAGGACAACCCTTCCGAGCGACTATGCACTATAAGTGGACCTAAGGGAAATAACTTTTATCAAATAAAACTCGCCCAGGAGAGCTCTTCACAGTGCTGTGGAATGGAGATGAAATAAACCCCCGACTGTTCAGACGCTGCTCAACTTGAAATTATTCTCGCAAATTTTTTTAAGATTAATTTCTTCGACATCGGCGACTGCGTGAAAGGCGGTGTAAGAAATTTACATTTGTGTACAGCCTCATTCTCGCGGAATCTCTGAGCCGTCGAGACCGATGGCTCCTTGCTCTAGTCATTGACTGGCCGCAGGATGGCTGGCTCAGATCTCGTTCTGTCGTCTCGGAAAGTCTCGTCACTTCACGTCCACTCGCGGGCGTCTTCTCGCCCATTTTGAATGGCTATCAACGTCAAATTGACCAATACCCGTTTCTACTTTTTAAGAACACTTTCTGATGAACGAGAGCTTGTTTTGCTTTTAAAAAAACATATGCATAACTTTAACTTTGGTTTGATTTTCAAATATTTCTTAAAAATTTGATTCCGTAACATGTTTTTATCTGGAGTAATTATAAACAGGACATAAGGCATATAAAATAATCAGAAAAATGAATCAACAATTAAACTTCGACATATATTAATTTAATTACATGAATTGTGAATAAAGTTTTTATTTTTAAAAGAATCTATTGTGTAATCTGCAGTCAATGTATTTTCTTTTTCCTTATAATGAGTACATTTATTTTCCACAACAAAAATAGCTGACCTATTACAAATCTTTGTTCAAGTGATTTATCGCAAGTTAAGTATTCTTGACATTTGGTAATTCAACAATGACAAGTTCAAGATATCTCTTGACATTTGAGAGTACTACAAAAACATGCCAGCATTAAACAACGAATTAAGAAAAGCTTGTGCGAGATTTTTTTTTCTCCAATTAGCTCCGCTTTGTTTACGTTTACAATAGGTAGGAGGTGTCGTCTGCAAAAAGATCTGAAGACGTGAGACCGAACGTCAAAGAAATCGTGACCCGCTGTTGATGGGTTTGAAGGGGGGTGATGTTTCTGGCAATTAGTGTTTGAAGTCGACGATAAAAGCCGACGTGTGTTGAGGTAGGGGGAAAACGTACGAGTGTTGAAGATTATTTTTTTTAAACAAGCGCTCATTTTGCTGTCTGTGTGATGTAAGATAGGGGGAAAAAATGGTAATCTAATTTAGGATGTTTTATTTAGGTGATCAGTCATAAGGGGATGCTAGGCTGCAGCAGACATACTTCCTGTCACCTGATCAGAATCAGCCAATGAAAATAAACTAAACGAGAGATGGGGGTAAAAGACCATATCTAGAAAGTTTATAAAAGAGAGGGAAAAAAATTGTCATAAAGTTTATCCACGGGAATCTATCCACTCACTTAGTCGAGCAACAAAGACAGGATATCATACACGGCTAACATAAAACAAGGAACTTAATTACATATATAAATGGATTGATTGTATAAGCAAATCAATGTGATGAATAAAACAATGCTTTAGCTGTTCCTGTCTTATATCGTACATCAAACACTGTATCAGACGTCATACATGCACACGATACAAACAATAGAAGAACGTACGGAAGTTGTTTATTTAAACTTATGTGTTTAGCCAGATTGTAATCAAAGATATTATATTGACATAACTTTAAGAGCAATTTTAATCCTAGTGTTATCGGACTTGAAATCGCTGAAGGCATTGTTCAGACGCAAAGTGGTTCATTATAAGGAAAACAGAAGTAGGTATCGACTAGGGTATAATTTAGGTAACGTTTTATATACTTAATGTTACATGTATGTAAACATTGAACATTCGTATTTGTTAAGGGTTCAAGGATTATAAATAGGTTTGTTTGTTTTTCAACATTTTTAGATTGAGTTCTTTAGAATGATAATGTATGTAACTGTATAGGCCTAAATATATGTAAGTGAACGCGTATATATATACGTATATATATATATATATATATATATATATATATATATATATATATATATATATATATATACAGAGAGAGAGAGAGAGAGAGAGAGATAGATAGAGCTATATAAATTCACAGCAAAAGTTTAAGATCAATCACCATTATGCTAATAACGCAATCAATGACAGCTGGAATAGGACAGACAAAAACCATTATCTAGTTAATGACAGGATAAGATATTAGACAAAACATTTCTCCAATCGAACTCAATCCCTGGCTGACAGTAACCTTCACCTTCAACACTATACTGAAATCATATCACGTGACATCTAGTTCACCGAGTACTTCGTTGAACCCCCAACTTCCCTCCACCCACCCCCCGTCCCCAAAATAGAAACAAACGAATTCCAAAATAAATAGTTCCGAACAAATTCGAATTATCCTGGGTTTATTTTCTTGAGCCGCCAGCATTCAATCCTCCCACGGTTGTGAAGTGGTGGCTGTACACAGTTAGTGAAGATCAGCTCGAAACGTTGTTCTGCTGTCATTCAAGTCTTGCTCTAGGCGACATGCGCGCAGGAATTTTTTTGCTTTACAAGTGAACACAGCGCACATACATCTATTTTAACGTTGTAAATACAGTTTGTTGAGGTTTAAATACACAAACTAACGCCGGATTGGTGGCTATCTGGAAGACGGAGATGTGACAATAGGAGAAGTTTAAGAAATATAGGAAGGTTTAAAAGTGGCAGAATACTGAAAGAGCTTAAGACGGAAGAGATGTGAAAATGGGAGGAGTTTAAGAAACAGAGGGAGGTTTAAGAAGTGGTAGAATACTGGGAGGAGCTTATTGCTCAAGAGGTGTAAAAATGGGATGAGTTTAAGAAACAGAGGGAGGTTTAACAAGTGGCAGAATGCTAGGAAGAGCTTAAGACGTAAGAGATGTGAAAATCGGAGGAGCTTAAGAAACAGAGGGAGGTTTAAGAAGTGGCAGAATACTGGGAGGAGCTTAAGGCGGAAGACATGTAAAATTGGGAGGAGTTCAAGAAATAGAGGAAGGTTTTTAAGAGACAGATTGCTTGGAAGAGCTGATGTGAAAAAGGGAGGAGTTTAAGAAACAGGCGAGTTTAAGAAGTAAGTGACAGATTACTGGAAACAACCAAAAAGGCAAGAGGTGTGACAATTGTAGTAAACGGAGGCGGCTAATTAAGTCACAGTCAGGTGTCCATTCGTCCGTTAAGATTTCCCTACAATCAGGCTGCCGCAGTGTTTCCAGTGTATCGCTTTAACGCCTGTATTGCACTCCCACAGCCTGATTGAACACAAACACAGGTGTTTAGTTTGATGCACGTTGCACCTGTCCGCGTCGAGCAGGTAGGTATACGGTCACGTGACCAGATCTCCAAAAAATAATTTCACGCTAAACTGTTTGTTGAAAAATAATTTATCCCCCCCCTCCCCCCCCCCTCATTCCCATCCAGATCTGAAAAGCGGTGGGTGGCCCCGGTATCATCACGATTCGATTCACGAGGCTGCTCAGGTAATTGTGTTACCTGCATCGCTAGCATCGGTTGGATCCAACCGGCAGAGGTTAAGATCACACGCAGGTCAGGGGTTAAGACCGCATGCAGGTCAGGGGTTAAACACATAAGTGGAGTTGAAAACTGATCGTCAATAAAAACATGACCCTGTGTGTGATGGACTTACCTTTCTCTTTGATTCCCACTCGTTTCAACCCGGATATTTTATTTACAGTGGTTTACGGTAATGTAAATAAGGGGCAGGTTGGGTTATCTACCTTATAACTTCATTAATTTATTTAATTTTAAAACATTTTTATGTTTGTTTCTTCAGATTTGGCCAACGATTAGGGAAGTACCTTTTCTTACCTGACGGGAAGTTGAATTAGAGTGCATCTATTTCTCTGAACTTGGCATATAAAAGATTTCTGTGATTAGCATTAACCTAAGCACCACCATACTTTATTATCCCCGACTTGAGTTGTGTACCCATTTTAGCTGAGTCAACTCTAGACTTTAATTTTGTAATTATCAAGGTAGGAAAACAACCATCGCTTTTTAATTTTAAAATCTTCAATTATTGGTAGATCTAAAAACAGAAAGGATCATTAGATAAAATTAATGTTTACTACAGTTTTTAGATCAACTTCTTTTATACTGACCTGTGAATGGCATAAAACATCTAGGCGACTATTAGAAGAAGAACAGCCGTAGATAAACGTATACTGTAGCTTGTATAAATATAGCCCTTCAACATTTGCATACAATTTGTTTGTTTAGTTAGGCGATGTTCTATTATAATTAACCAGCGAAAATAAAAGTTTGAAGCTACGACAGGCTTGTACTAGTAAAAGAACAGCATCCGATAAAACATTAAGTAGAGACCGTCCTCTAGAAAAACAAACGTATACAAATGACTCAGTGACAATAAAATCAATAGGATCTGAAATGCAATGACCTTCAACGATTATCCCTCCCCTCCCCACCCCTCTTTACTCAGCTTGATCCACACGTGTTCCCTGATCCCTCCTAACCTTAATCCCCCCCCCCTCGATGTCTAACACATGCACTCACCCTCCCAGTGCTAATCGGGTAGACGCACACGTAATGCACACGCAATGCACGGATGAAGGATAGGAAAAAAAAACACACGATCTAACAAAACATTTTTGTCTTACCTGACAACGTCATTAGAGGGTGCTGGAGGATGGGGGGGGTGGTAGGGGGGAATACCGAATAATCCTCAATCAAAACAACTTATCTATTGTTTGTAAGCCCGACATTCCTTTTTTATATATTTATTCCCAGTTTTTACCTCGTTTATTTTTATTCCTTATGATGTGAGCAATCCACCCTCTACGGCTCGTATATTTATCAATGTTTTATTGATTCTTCTTTCTTGATATATTCGGTGTTTTTCTTTTTAACTTTCTGTATTAAAGTTTTTTATCTTTATATATAA